AGATTGTCCGACACAGAAACAGTTGCCGAGACAGAGCAGCCGGCTCAAGCATCGAACGACATGCACGTGCGTGACGCTGAACCGGTAGTTGAGTCACAATTGCGGCGCTCTGAGCGCCGACGCCGACCGGTCGATGGTTTCCAGGCTGGATAGCTCCAACTAAAGGTGGGAGAAGTGATGCAGAGGTTGAGCGCGTCAAGGTCATGTTACACTACCTAGCCTGTGGAGCCGCATTGTGCGCGCTAGTGCGTGAGTGTACATCTCCCGACAAACCAGTGACGCTTATTGATTGGTTCAAAAGAGTGTGCTTAGCTAAAACATGTGGACTGCAAAACTAAACAGTTGATGTCTACCCAGTGTGGACTGCCGATGTACCATTGCCCTTAATTCTACTAAACTTCCATTTACAATACTGTTGTTCTGACTTTGGTTGAGTGTAACAGTGTTACACTATTTGAACTCCATTGACGATGCGATAATGTTCACCATGGAACTTGAGTCGCAGAGCGGTACACTTCCGTTCCTTGATTGTCTGGTACATAGGAAGGAAGGAACGTTAAAAACGACAATGTATCGCAAACCAATGGACACAGATGGGGTACTTAGCTATAGTTCAAGCCATCCGAAGCACGTGTACGCAGGAATCGCTTCATCACTATTTCACAGAGCAAGTGCTCTGTGCACGGAGGAAGAAGATAGGAAGGCAGCGCAGAGGGAGGCGATGAAAAACCTAATAGCTAGCGGATATCCGAAACGATTAGTGAAACGACAGGTACAGAAATGTCTACACCCACGCGCAACACCAACCACAGAGTGGATAGCGACAGTGGGTATTCCGTATAAAGAAGGAACTTCGGAAGCGATTCGGAGTACTGTATAAGGAGAAGATAAGGGTAGTTTTCCAGAAGAGTCGAACGCTACGGTCCACGCTTGTGCATCTAAAAGATTCACTACCCTTAGATAGAACAACTAACTGTATTTACAAAATTCCATGTAAAGATTGTACGCAAGTGTATATAGGCCAAACAGCGATGGAATTACGTACAAGGATTTCAGAACATAGGCGACACATATCACGACCTCCGCGAAATGAGTTAGAGTATGGAGCTCTACTCAGAGATTCGGCAATAGCAATACATGCGCTAGACACGGGGCACAAAATTGACTTCGAAAATGTGGAGGTTATCAGGAAGGGATTACGATCAACCAAACAAAGGCTGATTGCTGAGGCTATAGAAATAAGCAAGGCTAACAACTGCGTGAATCGAATAGACGGAGTAGGGCTGTCTAGTGCCTGGCGTCCAGTCTTACTCCGACTAGCTTGATAAGCATCGGTGGATGGACACCAAATCGGAATGAACTATCGACTCACTCTCCATCGAATTCCAAATTCCTTACAACGGTTCAGCTAAGATTGCTAGCCACACACGGAACTCTCCGCGGACCGGCAATTTCCTTTCCCCGCTTGACCCTGACAGAAAAAATCTGCAATGTACCCACGAACATAGTGACCTTTGATCGCTGTAATCATACATTGATGAACTGCAAATTGATTCGTCCCTGCATGTAGCTTTGTCATGATCGCTATAAAATGCCAATGTTAAGATAATTCACTTCGCCTGATGAGGCTTTTGTGTCAAAAGCGAAACGTGGGCCTGATGAAGGTTTTGTGTCAATAGCGAAAAGTTGTCTATTACCATAAATACATTAACCGGTCGTTTACCAAGTTTTCTGAAAGCATTCCTTGGGACAGCGTATGCCATCATGGATTTCAGTCCGGATTTAGTTGTTGACGAGTTTGACTGTCGACTCCTACTCGTAGTACGTGCTAGACTAGTGCGTTTATACTGGAGGCAACCACGGCACTAATGATGTGACGGATTGTGGTTTTTGTGCGTTGGGGTAACAGTTGCCCGCGTCTGTCGTCTCTGTTGCTGGTGTAACCTCGGACTATCTCTGTAGAGCTGAGTCCACAACACCTCAGCATAAGCAGTTAGAATAGAGAGGGTTGTGAATTGGACCGTTCGTGCAAACGATCATCATTAGCCGTCTGTTTTGAGCACTGTTGCGCTCGGAACACCGCCGGTGCGAATTCCCAACGGTACATTGGCAATAAGGATGCTAGCACACGGAGTGCTCGGCCAGTTCAACTGCTGGATCTTACTCCAAGCATCCGATGGCTCGGGCACGTGCTTCTCGTGTCCGCTCAGAGGCTAACTCATCGCACCTTCTGTGTACGTTGACAACAGGCGAGCGCGACAACAACGTTGTCGGAGCACCAGGTTGATCAGAGGTAAACATATAATGTAGTAGTGATAGATAGCGTTTAAGATACAGGAACCATTTGCAGGTCAAGCTGGAAGCGCACTCGAACGTGACTTAAGATCCATAGACGTCGAAGAATCGGTTACTTTTCAACGGATAGTTTTCGACGTACCTAGTCTCTGTGCCGCGAAACTAGCAGTTGGATCCGCTTGGTACCGGGGGTCCATACACCGAGCACGATGCACGCGTGTTGCCTGAGGAGGGGGGGGGGCACACAAGGGCTTCATGCAGCTAAGGGAACACAAATCTCTGGCTCGGAAATGATTATAGCGCAAGTGCGACCGGCGGTTTTAGTCTAATAATGAATGAACGGAACAGCTTAATACAAGGGAGGGTTCAGTGTGATCAGAAGCGAAACAAAGTGAGAGTAAGACAAACATCAAATACCGGAAATCAGCGAGTTGAACAATGCACTGTGAAAACGACGGAGTGACTGGATCCAACAATTAGGATAGAGCGAATGAAGCGGTTCGAATTGTCGATTGGGACTAGACTGCGAGTGAGAGGAGCAGCGACCGGGCTAAAATGCGTCCAGAATGAAGCAAATGGAGTTTGACAGCCAGATTGACCTTCACACCAAGAGCATATATCGTTTGTCACCCGGAATATTAACATATACCATAGAACTTCAAGCGAAAATAATGGAAGCTACCACGGTTGGGCTTTCGCCCCCAAAATGTTTACTGGTAGCATGATGCGACTGAAAGTATGAGAATCGGATCGACGAAAGTTAGGCTAAATTCTGTTGCAGTTGGGTTGAACAAGTTTACAAGCCCCGTCAACTGTTGGAAAGTATACACCCAAACACACAACCACTGTCTACTGAGGTCGTCTTTTTTGGTCACACAACCATGTGAGGACCCCCTCTCTCCATCGCGAGTCCCGAGACGGAAAAAACAAGCGTCGGTGTTAGTACCGTCTTAATTATCTTTCCCATTCAAGTCAATAATCACCATCATTAGCTGTCGGCTCTGGCTCATATGAAGCAGCAGCTTCATTAAATAAACGAACTACAAACTTGAAGTAAAGTGGACAAGCTAGCTGCAGCGGGATGAGGCATGGACTCCTGTGGAATCGCCGATGTACGGACCAATTGAGGGCATCGTACGCTTGGTGCTTGTCTCGTGTTTTCCAAGTACAAGGTATGACTGTGAGACTGAGTCGACACATCAAAGTTGTTCATTTTTACGAAAAAATCTGAAAACAGACTACCTCTGTGTTAACCAAGTCAGCTAATGAAGTTGATGCGCATGTCAATAAAAGATCTGTGCAGTTTTTCCAAAACCTCAACCATCCATGGAGACGGCGAGACACAAGCTTGTTAATTAATAGATGTTAGGAAAGTAGTCAGCTTTGATCACCAATGCCCGTGGGAGAAGTATTCGTATCCGATGGCAGCGCTGAGTGACCAATAACGAAGTCCGCCGGTTGGTGTCTCGCAGCAGGCCACTTTGAATCGTAAAAACGATCTACGTTGGTTAGGATAGACAACGCTAAATGGCAATTTGCACGAGGCAGGCCTGAACAGGCAGGAGCGAATATCTATCGATCACCCAACTGGGCGTGGACCGCAAATCGCTGCTTCATCCGGTAGGGTGAAAGTACGAAGCCAACAACCTGTGACGTGGAGAAGAAAGAAAAGCAACGGCCAAGAGGCTTAAGCTAGCCAGCACGCGTCTCGATGCTGATAGTAGATTTCAGGATGAACATCGGCGATCAGTCGGGGAGTCACTGTGGCGTCGTAATCAGCCCCTTGCATCTAGCCGTTATTTCACGATAAGACTATCTTTTTCTGTGATTTATTTTTGATATGCTCTTCGTTAACTCTTAAGCCACTCTCACCGCTGTTGGGGTAAGCACTATAATACAGGGAAAATTAATCATTTCAGAAAACTTGGTGGACGACCGGCAATTTTATTTTCCCCACTTGACGCTGACTGAAACAAACTACAGTGTACCCACGAACATATTGACCTTTGACCGCTGTAATCATTCATTGATGAACTGCAAATTGATTCGTCTTTGTATGTAGTTTAGCCATAATCGCTATAAAATGCCACTGTTAAGATAATTCACTTCGCCTGATGAAGCTTTTGTGTCAAAAGCGAAACGTTGTCCATCACCATAGATACATTAACCGGACGTCTACTAAGTTTTCTGAAATGATGACTTCCCGATCGGTTCCAAGTATGTTTCAGGGAAAATTAAACTTACTGCACCTTGGTGTTCCGATCATGCTAATGTAGCGGAATTGGAGTGAAGTGTTATCAGAACCACTGCTAGTGTATGGGAACGACACTGCCTCGAATAATGGATAAAAAACCGGTCAAGAGAAAAACCAATCAGTGAAATAGGCATACAAGGTGAATTTGTCTGGAGTTTCATGAAAAGAGGAAAACGATGGCAGAGAGGGGTGTGGATCGTGGTGCAGATTGGACAATATGTCCATCATATCAAAATGGATGGCTTATATGCTGCAATGCCGTAAGGTTCAATACAAAGTATCACCAGACATCCGGGTTCATCGCAAATGCTAAGCATGAGCTAAGTTAGAGTGAATTGCGAAACCGAAGGAACAACAAAGGAGCCACTGCCTTCGAAACAGAATGGAGTTAAACAGCAGCAATTTTATGGAATTATGGTTAAAGCCGTACATGATTCGTTAGAGACAGCAGCTAATTTTCACAAGGCGGAACACTTACGACACAATTTCGACGCGTTGTCGGTGGAGCAAAGTGTCCTCTGAAATTTCGACGGTAATAGAACCAGACCGGTTTGCCTAAGTAGGTATCACGATACACTGGCAAGCGTGAGAGAGGGGTAAACAGGAAGCAAAAGATACCATCGGATTTCAAGTACTCCATGCTAGTGGCCAAGTCAACCGGGTTGTAAGGCTTCCCTCTATAATTTTTGCGCACTTTCAGCATTGAAGTGTCACGTCAATCGATGACAGGACGTCTGTAGTCGAATTTCTCCACTTCGGCATGCAGATCATCACCTGAGTGGAGTAAATTTCTTTGGGACTTCTTTTAAATCCGATCTGCATGCTCTCATTAAAACACGCTGTCATGCTTGGTGGTCGTCGATTCTATGTCTAGTTGGAGGAACTCCAGTCTTGTCAGTCGCTGTTGTTGCAGAAAACACGAAGAATCTGGTGATACGACTAGTTCTCCTTGACACTTATATCATCTTCTTTATCGGACTTCACGTAATTAGCTAGGGCATCTGTCTCGTGCACCACAGTAGTGTATTCTTTGGTATTGCTACTTCCAAGTCTTAAACCCACAATTTTGCAATTTTAGGTCATATAATAACGTGTTATGCTTCTAGTTACTGTATTTTCTTGTTTTCTCACTCCTCCTCGTTGTCCACTTTCAATACCATGACGACAACTAGAGTTAGTCCGTCTAGATTGAATTTGTTCCAGTGTGCTAATCCACTTCCTGAACCCTAATTGGCAGCTTCGTGTAATGTGTGGTTAAATTCCCAAGCTGTTTTTATTGCCCCCACCATATCATAGCCTGCATTCCTCCTTCCCTGAGGCACATACGAAATTGACTGGACGGCGATGTGGCTTATACCGGTCTCCCACGTTTCGCATCCAGAAAGTCTTATCTAAGATTTGTCCACTCAAGCTTGCGTGTCATTGATTACACGATTACAACAGGCGAGGCTGGATTCACGAATGATGAAAGCCTTGGAAGTTTTCTCACACACATGCACACATAGCCTGTACGTAGGGGTCGTTGGATGGTCGGATACGTTTATGTACTTGGGTGATCAGTCGGCTTTTCTCAGTCTGATCTATCGAGAGACCGACCAGCCTCACATCAGACCAGTTTTCTCCGTGCGTTGCCTGCGATCAGGAAGTCCTCGATCCAATGAACCACTGCCCGGGGCACCATAGTCGCACACACACTCACACACACACGCACACACACTAAATTCTGCATTTCACTAACCTTGTAAACTTGACCCCTTGCATGATCAGCTTCTCACCGTGTTACGTAGACTAATTCCTACCATTGCCGCATGCGTTATTTACGTTATATCTGGAACTGTTCCCTTCTTAGTTACAATGTATCCGAGTACTTCGAAGAAGTTGTACAACAGTCCGAAGCTTGGCTATTGGCCACTCGAGAATACCTGAGTCGCGCCCTCTACTGTCTGTTTGTGTACGTGGGAGCGCTGGTGTTGTGGAACACTGCCGGAACTGTGCTATGGTTTTATCTGGGACGGTGAGTGACGGAACCAATGCTTTTCATTCTTTTATTCTAGCCGCCTATTCTTCATTCACGGTCGTGTTGACCTTTTTATTGTAGGCTGAAGCTACTGCCCAGAAAGGTCCTCTTCGAATCGGATGTTTCCAGTTGGTCCCTACCTCAAAGTAGGCCACAAGCACAATGACAATTCAGACAGACCCGTACCCAAAACACACTTATTGCTCATCGTCGTGATCTTTCTAATTTTGTATTGGCTCTGTGATCCCCGGCTAGCTAAAGACAGTTCCATTGACTTTACTCTGTGTTGTGATTATCGGTTTATCTCGACTGTGTTTTGTTCGTTCCTTCGCTTCAAACGAACTTCCATCATCTTTACGTCTACGTTTCATCTCACTTTACCCGGTCATCAGGACTAAGTCAGAACTTTTTCGTTATTCCTCGCAGACCCCTTGTATGTCCTCTCCATCAATGTAGCTTTCTAGTACAAAAGCCCGTTAGTTTGTTTTTCAAATTTCGTGTTGCTTACCGCTCCATAATACATATGTTGACTCCACTCATGGAAGCTATCCATCGATTTGACAAATCGGATAAACTATTCCTTCGAATGTCGTTGAGTGCACAACGTTTAGCGCGTGTCCAGATAGCGATTCCAGAAGTAGATCGAGTTGCGCGGAAACTTTTATTTTGTACAACAAAGAATTCACTATTTTCCTATCAATGAAAAGACGACACCGTAGACGCTAATAGGTAGGGGAACGGAAAGAGCACATCACACAAAACCATCGCGTGTTGCCTCCGAAACGAGCGTCAAGCACTGGTAGTGCTTGACTCAAACAATCGAACTCAACATGCGGTTTAACAATTCGCACCGGTCGCATAATTGTACAATGCAATAATGTTTTAGTTAGAATTTTACACAAGTAAACTGGGGAAATTTCCAGACTGCTACAGACTGCATGCTACCACTCACTACAAGCCTTGCAGCAGCTGGTCAGTAGGGCGCAACTTCGCCAATGCTCAGGTGACGCTGATTTAATCTTCATCATGCGTTGTATTGTCCACTCCGTTTCAGACAGTTACTTCTAAGCTTGGTGTTATGGATACGTTACAGTAAATGGTGGCATACGTTGTAGGGGTCACTGAATATTTGATACACAACTATAAGGTCACCGCGTAAATTTCGGTAGCGTCCGCTGAAAATTCCGAGCAAATTCAGGCTTTACTGATAAGAGAAATTGTGTAGGCACTTGGCAGTCTTTGTTGCCGTGCATTGTGGTGTCTCCAGCACTTCCAGACAGCGCTTCAACCAAGGTCGCCAAACTGGATAGCGTATTCTACGTGAGGACACACGTAAGAGTTCATCGGGAAGATTAGTGAGTCAAATCTCGCGAATGCGTTTCCCAGCAGGTTGTCGTTTTGGTTAAAACTCGAGGTGCTTTTGCCAATCCCCGCCACCTGTTACGCAGACGTCCTTGCCCTGAAAGGCAGAGTTTATAACACAGCCGTTCGTTCAACCCTCTTATACGGTTGTGAAATATGGCCCGTCAGGTTGACAGACATAAAGAGCTTAGCCACGTTCGATCATCGCTGCCTCCGCAGCTTAGCTCATGTCTGTGTGAGTAATGGACGTGTTCTGCGTTGCGTGTTTGGTGCAGGAAGAGCGAGTGAACCGCTCAAGACCATTATGTCACGCACCAGGCTCCGATGGCTGGGTCACGTGTTGCGCATGCCAGCACCCCGACTCCCACGACGTGCGTTGTTTGCGCGCCCGGCGGGTGCGGCTGGAAGAGGAAGAGGGGAGGCCGTGCGATGACTTGGTCGTGAGGAATGAAAACCTTGACTTCAAAACTGGCGTCGGTTGGTGCATCCCGACTTCCTGGCTGGGGTCCTAAGGACCATGAACACGTTTGGTTGGACACACATGCTGATACGGCGAAGAGTCGGCCCCAATGGCGTTTGTGTTGTGAGTTTCTTTGTCCATCCCCCTCCTGCCTAGCCTCCCTTCCAATCACAATGTCGTTCATTAGGCGTAATACAACTCTCTTTTTGCGGCACGATAGCCGACTGTTAGCTCTCCGGAACGATGTCAATCCGTTACTGGGGACTCAGCCGGCGTGTCTTCTTTTCTTCTTCTTGTCTTTTGTATTGCGGCACAATAGCTGAAGTGTTTTCCACCTGCAGCTAACGTGTAATGATGTCTCTTTGGTTGTCTCTTCTCGCAGGTGCCTCACCCTGTTTCGTACTGTTGAAGTCACTCTGTACGAGCACGTCAAGACCACATTCCTGGGAACTGATCTACAATCTGTGTGTCCCAAGCTCATGCATGTGGTCATGCCTATGGCGTAGTTGAACGGTGCTGGATTGTCACCCGCCGAAAAGCTGGATCACCACTGCCTCCTTGTCGCTGATGGACAGACGCCGCTTGATCCCATCCGACACCAGCTGTAGTGAGGAAGGCCGATCCCTGGTTCGAGCGTTGCGCAGGAGCTTACTCAAGGATTGTGAGACCTGGTGGCGTGAACATGCTAGAGAGCTTGAGCTTGCTAATCTCTCTGGTAATACTAGAAAACTGTTCCACCTCATCCGAGTCACCGAAGGCTTCCGATCAGGAATAAGCGAAACAATCTGCAAAGATAATGGCTCCCCAATCACTAATCTTCAACGAGGGTTAGGGTGATGGGCCGAACGTTTTCGCTCGCAGGTTTCCTGGCCGCCAGCTCTGTCTGTTTTCCTGGTGGCGCTCACTGGTGATGAATGGACTATCCCAACTGCTCCTCCTTCTCACCAAGAAATAAGCGGGAACTCAGCTGTCTAAAGCGTTCTAAGGCACCCGGCCCTGATGGTCTACCTCCTGCTCTATTTAGGGATAGGGGCTCTTCGCTGGTTCAAGAACTCACCGCTTTGTTCTCAGAAGTCTGCGCAAAAGCGGAGCTACCATCATCCTGGAGTGAGTCGATATTCGTCCCCTGGGCCTGTGGACAAATTGCTCCAATTACAGGGGCATAAGTTTGGTTTCCGTCGTTTGCAAGATTCTGGTCTCCATCATTCTTCGTAGGCTATCTCCAACGCGTGAATCACTACAGCGAGAAGAACAGGCAGAGTTCCGCCCTGGTCGCGGCTGCATCGATCGGATTTTCACCCTGTCAGATTCTCGATCTCCGCCATGTGTATCAAAAACCAACGATTGTTGTGTTCCTGGATATCCGTTCTGCCTTCGATTCTGTCCACAGGGCTGCATTGTGGCACTGTCTGTTGAGAAATGATGTTCCCGGGAAGTTCGTTTCCATTCTATGTGCTCTGCATAGTCTGACGGATAGTTAGGGCTTATTTCAGGCTTTCGCCTTCCTTTTTTGTCACCAGTGGGATTCGTCAAGGATGCCCTATCTCTCCAGTCCTCTTCTACTTTGCCATTAAGGATATCCTCAAAAATGCTCTAGACTTGTTGTACGCTGGCGTTAAGCTCCTCCCAGGTAGTCGGGTGGTTGAATTGGATTATGCTGATGATATCGTCTTGTTGGTTGACACCGTCCAACTTGCAGTTAATCACCTGACGATTGAATCGTCGAAGTATGGCATGCACTTTTCACCATCCAAGTGCGAAGCACTTTTTCGAGACTGATATACGCCCCTGCCTGCACTGACCACTGATGTAGAAACCTGAGAAGTAGTTTTGGAAGGAGTTTTGTCTACCTGGGAAGCTACATAACTGCGGGTAAGGCTGTTGGAAACGAGATTTCGATGCGTATCTCAAGAGCTCGTCTCGCCTACTCCAGGCTGAGGCATTTATGGCGCCGCCATGACATCCGTCTCTCTATTAAAGGACGGGTTTATAGTTTACTGTCGGCTCTGTACTGTTGTACGGTTGCGAGACTTGGCCTGCTCGTACCGATGACCTACGTCGACTGTCTGGCTTCGAGAACCGTTGCTTGCGGTCCATCGCCCGTGTGTGGTGTCTGAACCACGCAACCAACACTGAGGTCAGACAGCGGGTTTTTGGCGGAGACAAGCACTCCGTCGAGGTGCTTGTCTCGCTGCGCCAACTACGATGGCTCGGACACGTACTGCGTATGCCCGTTCAGCGTCTTCCGCGTCGTGCCTTGTTCGTGGTCGCTGGACAGGGTTCGACAGCCTAGAACTCGAAGAAGCAGGATGAAATAGCTGACGAAACTGCTGGCCACGGTTGGTTCCTCCCGACTCCCTGGATGGGGTCCCAGGGATGCTGAGTGCACTTGGTTGGAAACGTTGGAAGTCATGGCTCGAAACCGAACTCAGTGGCGGGCGTGTATCTCTGCTTGTTGCGGTGATTCCCCATCCCTCCCCAATAAAAATCGTTGAAAAGCTCAAAAACTGTGAGTGGAAAATGGACAAAAAACCTTTGTTTTCCTTCTTATTTTACACTAGCTTTGTTAGCCTATTCTGCCATGGTTCCGATGGCACCGTATCTGTACACAGATTACGTTATGGTTGGCAGCATCCGGGTTCGGATTTGCCTGTCACTGTGGCCAGCCACAGGACGCCTGCGCCTACAGAGGGACCATGGGTGGCTTGCGCTGCACCACCCACAGCTCCAACCACACACCCCATATCCAGTGTAAACCCGAAGGAATAAGACCGGGAGGCATGTGGATGGGAGCCACGTTTCATCAACGGAGCCGGCCCACACTCCTTCACAGGCAAACACAAGCACGCTGTATTTGGGAATCAAGCGCACACAAGGCGGTGGCTGGACCGTAGTCCGCTCCACACTGAGTGCATGGAACCACTCTTTGATCCTAACACGACCACAAGGACCGTGCACCCCGTCCCCTCCAGCAACGACCAACTGTCTCCTAGAGCCAGTATGGACGAGGTAGTGGGTAATAGACAGGTAGGCACCTTGTCAACATGCACATCAAGCGCAGCCACACCGGGGATGTCAAGCAACAGCCAGTCACTTGAAATGACATTATCAAATAAAATATATCTGTTAAAGAATACGGCTATGCAGACATAACTCTTCCCTAAATTAGCATATGATGTAAGTTGGTTAGCAACGAATCTGCGATAAGTACAAAATGCCCAGAAGTTACTCAAAAAATGCTACAAACGCAATAAAGTTAACGAAGATAACCACAATTAACGTAAGCAACGTGCGCAAGTTAACAGAAGATTATTAGGTAGGCAGAACAAACCAGATAAAGTGGAAGGAAATTTATCCAGCTTTAAAAGACCTAGTTCAAATGTTAGTTGGTTTAGCCCAACTGCGGTGAAGAAGCATCATAAATGCAACATCAGCCTGTGCATGGGGCACACACAGATTGTGATATATATATATATATATATATATATATATATATATATATATATATATATATATAAGTTGGTAATGTTTTCTGAACTGATCGGTTCGAAATCCCGTTAAGTTCGCGCTGTAGTCTTTCGTGGTCATCCGGTTCGCTGATCGCTCGCCATGTCTTGAAGTTGCCGTGTTGCTCTCCGAGAATCAAGAAGGGAATCTTTGCGGCGATCACAAATCATTAGTAACGGTGAGAAACTGCAAACAGTTATGACTTGTGAAAACAAACTGCTGAGAGTAGGACAGGCTCTGTCTCATCTGCTGAGTTTAGAGTTACTCATAGACTTCGTGGTTCACCGAAGTGCACTGGGGTGGGGGTTATGCACTACGCGTCTCAGTATAGTGGGCTCCACCTGGATACCAACTGCGTCGCAGATGGAATTTCACTAGCTGCGATCATATAGAAACTTATCATTTATTGTGCCCGATTTAGACTCGTCAACGTTAGTGCACACGAAAGTTAGCGGACCGTGGTTCTGTCTAGCAAATACCGGTTTGTGAGTTCTCACTGGTGATTTTAATTGTTTAATAGGCGCAATTGGAGGTGGCGATGAAAGCTGCGTCGCCCCGCAAGTGTCCGTTCCAGAAAATGGACTTACGTTTGTCTCTCCCGGTATGTTTATCCAGGTGACCGATGCATCCGTTATCTATTTTTCTATGCAATGGATTGCCTCCGACTTTGAGCCACCCTAACTGATTCGTTAGGGGTATCACACATCAATAGGTTAACATTGTGGTGGCGCGGAAGGCAAGAATCACAGGAGGAGGAACGGACAAGCCGTAGAAACTAAGGAAGAAGAAATGTAAATAGGCCATCAACAGAGCTGCTCGGAACCTTCGGAAGTAGCTGGAACTGGCCTGCGAGAAATAAACCATGTCCGGCTCAGGCAGAGAAGAGTGGGTGGCGTGTGGTGGTGGAGAGATTGATTTTTCGGGGATGCGCCTTTGGTCACCTCTCCATGAATAGGCCCATGGAGAGCGGTGCAACCTCGACTAAGCAAGCAAATGTGATTAGAACGAAGCCATCCTGGTTAGAATACGACGAGCGGAGGCGGAGATGCAAGAGCAAATCGGTCAACAGGAACTCTCCTGGGAGTGGCTTAACTCGGGGCATTAACGTGACGTCGAGCGGAAGGACATTGTGTGATACGTGGTGGGCCGGAAATGTCCTCTCTACATGCGTGCCTGCACGATAGCCTGGGGAACCGTTGTTCGTTGGCAACAAAGTCTGTGCATCCCTACCGCCTCGGATGGATGTCGTCAGTCACCCCTACATTCTGTACACATGCTTTTGGAGCCCTCGACTTTAGCTCAAACCTACTGGTTACTCATTGTGCTCCGCAGCTCTGCTTAGCCAATTGCAATAGGCCGTCGAAGTGTTGTGACGTATGTGGGACCCTCGCACTTTGATTGATACCGGAGGTGTAGATACAACATTCCGATTCACCTTCATTTTCCGGCTCAGTGTCCGGGTAGGAAGCTGCTTACATTCGAGCTGTAGTCTTGTATTTATCTGAACTCTATCTGTCTCAGTGTTTGATACACCGAATTGATGTCGATGAACATTTTGACTGAATTGTTGGTGCAGAACCAACCCACAAGGATTTCCTCCCTTGTATTTCTCTTTCTTGGGTTAAGATCACTGCTTCGTTCTAGTCGAAGCTGCGTCCTTCTTCATGTGCGGGCACTAAGGAGGTTGAGTCATGTTTTTCGCATGTTTTTGGGTTTTTATAACCTTGTGGATAATCTTCTTCCTGTTTGTCTTATATTGTGCTCATCACAATTTCCGTACCTTGTTTTGTGAACAATCATCGGCCGTCCGTGTGATTCCTGTATTATTGGTTTCGACAATGTTAACCCCGACGTGGCGATTGGCTTGGGGGCCACCATGACAATCTGGCGGTTATATCCGACGCCCTGCATCTGACACGAACCGCTTACTGCTACGCACTGATGTCATCTCGACTCGCGATTACCGCGGCTATGGAACACCCAACACGTGTTCCCAGTATTTCGTCTGATATTTAACATTCTTCCGAGTTTTCAGAATTGTTGACTGGCACCTGAAGAACCTTGCAATAACGGCGGATGGTTTTTAATCCGCGAATCTAATTCCCACGAGGCTCGCGGTTCTTTCAGATGGATACAGTTAGGAATTCTATGCGGTGCAAGGAGATCGGACGCCATAGAACATGACGAACGGGAGAAAATAGACGACAGTTGACTGCGGATAGCGGTGCAAGCAATCGGTTCAAGGTCAAATCATTTCAACTTACCGAAACCCAATTCGAGTCCCTGATTCGACATTTACATGCGATAAGTATCTATATCATCACTCGTGCCTATCGGTACCTTCGCACTCGCAAGACCACTTGCTATTACAACATGGAAACATTTCTCACAATCACATCCCATTTCTTGGTGCACATGAATCAGCTCACTTATTTTTTCAAGACTAATATTTGAGTAAACTGAAATCCTCGCTTTGCTGCTTCTACAAATCTGTCCATCGCTTTCCTAGTGTGTCTGGTGTAACATCGATTATATATATATAACCTGTTACTCAGTGCTGACAAGTGGTCGGTTCTGCGTCTCCCAACTAAAATGTAGTCGACTTATACTTAATAAAATAAAAATAATGATGTGTATACTCCTCATAATCCGAAAAACTGCGTTTATAGCAGTGCGGATCAAAATGCACAAAGATCACTTATAATGTCGCTAGGTGGCCGCATTTATCGACGTCTTCTTTCTGATCATCGAGGGGACTGCAGCACCAATCGTAATTGCTATCTACTCAGTGAACAATACCAGTACATGAACTGGGCACATTGCCACACTACACGCAACCTCATTGGCCGCGGCTTTATGATTCGTCAGCGCCTCCAGTATGCACAGGCTGCAAGGATCATTGAACACAACTGTTCACCTTTGCTCCCAAATTCTTGATACTTATAATTGTAAAGGAATTAAAACCAGTTCCTTAGGTTTTACCACTAGGCTTGCTGAGGCCAATGCGTGTGTGCAAATTTTCAATGATTGCGTGCAACGCAGTGAATACCCAAGCAGGTCCTGTAAGTCATTGCGGCTTCCTCCGTTTTATCCTAATAATAAAACGCTTATACGACATGCATTAAGCGAGAGCGACAACGTGCAAACAAAGATTGCCGAATTTGAACGCAAGTAAGCCCAGGCTCCCTTGCAGCTGAGTAACTGTGTGCAGAAGAAAAGGAGATGTTCCTCGAGTATGTTCTGTTCGTTAACGAACAATCGTGTTCGACTGAGGCATTGGCTATGGAAAATTGTAAGCGATAAAATTGCTTGGGGGTTCGAGTGACGCATGGAAACTCACGGCCCAACCCAGAAAGAAAGCAGAGACGTTAACTACGGTACAATTTCAATGGGTATCCAAATACCATATGTACATAACTCGACAATACCCGTTCAGTTTCGAAACGACCTGGCTTCACAGCGTCCAAAAGTCATGCAAACGGTGTTTGCCACCGTATTACACTATTGTTCCAAAATCACTTTTCTCTTTTGTTGATAGACACTACGTCACCACAGACAGCAACTGCGATTCGCTGTGTGTCTTCAGAAAGTGTGCTCTGTTTACACACGGGATGACACAAATGGATTTGGGACACGAATATCGAAACTTGGTAATCGAAGTTAACTGAGATACCGTGTTCAAAGCCGAAGGGTTAATGCAACCGATCTTTACGTGCTTACTAAACTTGGTGTAGAGTCTTGGCGATGGAACCGGACGTACCATTCACATGGAGTTGATTTCTCATCTCTATCCTTAATGTGTAATCAGCTATATCGATCTCATCCGTTTACGGTCGTCGGTATCAACAGATAAATGCTTCCCTGAGCTTTGATCATCTCACTCTTCTTTTCTGATTGGGGGATCGTAAAGGTCGCTGGCTGGCGCCCTTATGACAAATTGGCTCTGTTTTCAGAAGTGCGCGTTGTGGTTCGAAGCATAACTCATGGATCCGGCCTGCCATGGTGGGCATATGTTTTGCTCGATAATGCGTGGTCGCTTTTCGCTACCAAATGGGCGAATTTATTCACACTGGATTTCCTATCCTGCAGGTAACATGCTCTAACTCCGATTTGTATGCAGAAGCACTATTTCATAACTAATTCTAGGCGTTTATCCGACTACGTTTGGTGGTTGATACTTGCGGAGCAGCGAAAACCCTCTTATTGGCTAGTATTTCACTAGGGATCTCTTAGTAAACCGAACCGTCTTTACCACTTCCGAGACAATGGGCATTCCATGGTACCTAACAGACACGGAGCTAATTATTTATTATTGCTGTGGTAGCTGCGACATTTGCAGATCTGTATATCCATCAGATACCATGTGAGCCTTAAACCCTGAATTTACTGAGTAGCTCGCCTTCATCTTGATACCAAACCTCGTGGGCTCATTTCCTCATTTTGTCTAGGTCCAATGACAATTAAATTTCTCTCAATCACTATGATCATGTTTACCTAACTCAGTTTTACCTGGTTGTTTCCCCCCACCCTTAGGTTCTGGCTATTCCAACACTTCACATCAGGTGTAATCGCAATCTCTCACAACTTGGTCTCCAAATCTCTTCCAATCAGATAATCCTGGGTTTCCATTGCGACACGAAATGCTATTCGTGGAAAGAGAAGTTCGTAGAGATTGCCCACTACGGCTCGGGGCAGTTGTCTCCTCTCTCGTCTGGATATGCCAACAACGTCTTCTGTACTTACTGCTGCGCTACTTCAACTCTTGTGACCCTGCTTTAGTGGGATCTGAACTCGCCTCACGTGCCATATCCAGCTCAGTCGCTGTGTATCGGTGGTTGCATAATTCGCTGCACAATGTCCGATGGCCATCCAATCGGGGGCGGGAGTTGGTAAAGTGTTTGTGTATGCAATTGCGGTTCGACACGCGGTCTGCCACCATATTGCGAAAGTAAGTGTCCGATCATCACTAACTCAATGATTCTCATTCTATGGTGCGTTGATCTGTTTGCCAAAACTCACCCATTATGCACATCTTCAACTGCAATGTTCTTCTTCCACAGTTGTACTACTACACTGGACCTGCGCTATTATCGGCTGGTTTCGGATGATTTGCTGATTTGTCTTACTGCCTGTTGGTCTTTTTTGACGGAGCTCAAATTAAATGGACATCACCATGGCCAGTTGTCCGTGACCACAGTGACAGGAATACACTGTATGTTTGTGCTTGCTTTATAATCTTTCTACGGTTTACTTTTGCCAGTTTGTTACACATCTCTCCTTTTTAAGGTTTGTTTATCATGTTGTGTATTTGTCGTAGTTCATTAATCTGGCCACTTTCTCTGGTTACATCGAGGTGAATCGCTAGGACCTCAGTTGCTTTCGAAACTTTGACCATCGTTACACAGATGTTGAATGGTTAATAAGGGAATTCCTATGGTTTAATGTATGTGTTCACTGCTGTTGCTGACCAGTCCAACACTCACTGTACAGCATGCGGTGGTAGCACTTATACTTACTCAGTACTTATTAGAACGCCCTCGCTTGAATACAGCATCATTAGCTAGAACGACCACTCGGTTCTTGTGCCGTGTGTCACGCGGACAAGTGAGTGCTCGATTTTGCATCGAATGGAGTCGGGTAAATTAGTCGGTTACGGTGTCGAGATCTACACGGACACCACATGAGTATTCGCGACTCCCGGGTAAAAAGAGACAATGACCTTCAGCAAAGCGCTAGCACCGCTCAAGCCAAAGGTTAACGCGGTTCGTACAGCCTGGGATCTATAACGCAAGTGACGGCGTAGTTGCCACATGATAATGGAAAGAAGGTGATTATCAGAGGGCGCAATCCCTACCATTGTATCACCGAGGAGATCGTGCCATCGGTGGCGTGACAGTAGTGTCACTTGGGTACGTTAGAGATAAGTGACATCTGATAACGCTGTCACGTAACAGTGCCACGGCAATAAGAATGGCCAACCTGGAGAACGGGAATGGCATCCGAGGCGAAGTTTTGTGAAACCATGAGGCGTTCACAAGAACTTTCTCAGGAAGATTCATGTTCTCGGTGTCATCATAAGGGGAGTGCATTTCTTAAGTCCTCAGTATTGCGCCTCGCCTGTGAAGAATGGTAAGTGTTTTAAAAGTTGCTGCTGATTTGCCACACTTCGCAGAGATTAGCAGCACATAGGTGCTCTCCTGGTTGGCCTAGTAGTAGCAGAAATCGTGCCAGCTAGGGAACAAACTGGAAAAGTTTCATTTTTGTCGGGGTATGCTTGCTAATTACTGGGAGGCGGGGAAAGATTACCAAAAACATGACCAATCCCTGTTGAGACGATCAAACAAGTTCACTTCCACGTTATAGTTGAGCAATCGAAAGCGAAACTCCGACTGGATCCGCGCTGCTACCCGAAGGGTACGCACTTCAGCAATATTCCTCCTTGCCTCACTGCACAAGTGCGCATGAAGGATATGACGTAAGATTTTTACTCAATGGAGAGTTGCTTGCAGCAGCTTCTAAATCAAAATTCTTCCATATGCCCGGTTTCGACCCCTTGGGCCTCCTCAGTTGTGCGCATCCATTGGCTTCATCGGGATCCGAACCCATGATGTCGTAGTGGCCAGTCAACAGCTTATGCCACCGGGCCATGGTGGACGGAGGCGGACCGTCATGAGTAAGCAAATTCCCCACCCACTCCACATCGTTTGTTTACAGTTGAAATTGGGCTGCTGGCCAATTTCGCAGGGAAGCAACGTGAATAGCAATGCAGTGTGTCGTACCGCGTGTCCAGGAAATGGGTTAGATTTTCATTGGTTGAATCGTGGCGCCCTGATTTGCCAACTGTAAGGTGGAAGTGAACGTCATTTCCTTATCCCAAGCACACGTGTTATCTTGCATGTAGGTGATCGAAGAGAATACACGGAATAACAGCACCAGGCCATGATCCGCAACTACCGATAGTTCTATAACGAATAAAATAACTTGCATCAGATTACAACTCATGTCTGAATGGTATTTCTCTTGTTATCGTGCAGGCACAGTCAAAATTTCGATGCTCGGATTATAGTTGATCAAGTAACATGAACTAAGACTTCCACAACCAAAGACGGATGCAAGCTGCCGCATCCAATCACAAACTCCAAGTCGTCCTTCAGAATACGCAAAGAACAGTTTAAGGATACCTGTCCTAACTTCCTTAACACCGTGGACATTGGATCACTCAAAACAGCTCAGTCTTAAGCAACGGAAAATTTCAGATACAGAAGAGAATTCTTTGCTTAGTATCTGCCTCGCTTCGATTCATTTTCTAGGTTGTCGACCGCAAACACTGTATTCGACTCTTCAGACAAAGATACTGAAGCTAATGGAGTGACCGAAGGTGCAGTGGCTGACGCCGAAAGCCTTGGCCAGTTGGTCCCGTGAGCAATAGCATTGCAATGCAAACAACACACAACAGATACGCAAAACAAAACGGCCAACGAGTACACGACTTCACTCCGATTGGTTGCGCGCTACCTACGAGCGAACCTTGCTCAAGTGGTGCTGGGTGAAGCCAACACGCTTCGAAGAGTAGCCAAACGAGGGTTAGGCAGCGACTAAACTTCTTGAACAGTGAGCAATGTGACCCGACTCGGGTTTACTATAGAGGAGTTACACGCTCAGTGGCTTTCGTGGGAGCACATTTTCAATCGTCCAGAACCTAGCCAAAATGTTATAGAGGAAAATTCGTCGGATCCTGGGTTAATGGCTTATACGAAACGGTTACTCTCACCTATCCTACCCCTGTTGGTTGAATTGCACACTCGAATGCACAGCGCCGGTTTCATGGCCAATGTTCTGCTCCCGAATTTAGAACAGTCCCCAAGTCCAAACCGGAGGTGGGGATAGTTTTGTGACCGACTATTTGAGGTGTTCTTTTAATCAGGTCCGCGACGCGTGGTGCAATGCTACTCCAGGGACGGTTATCCACTACCCTCAAGCGCGTCTGGGGAGCCACAAATCGCAATGCCCCATGGCCAACGGATGTAGAGGTCCTGTTGAGAAAAGGCGACAGAGCAGGTGGAGAGAGAGGCACGTCTGAATGCATATGCAGCGCATTAAGTTGCAATGGTCAGTTAACCGTTACCCGAACACCGAAACGATTCGCAATGCCTCGCATACCGACGCATTGGTTACCTTGCCATGCTCTAGGGACGTTTGTTGGAAGTGATGACACATTTGGCGACGAATCAATGGTGTACACGAGCCAAAAGTGCTAATTTTGTGCATCAGAACATCCTTGGTTCACAAAAGTTTGGACCCAAAAATATAGGAGCATCTTAATGAGATATTCCGTTAGGGATAAGAACTAGAATTAGTTGCAAAGCTTCTGACCTTAAGGTAATCTCCTTCTGGCTACCCATTATGGCCGCACAATATTAGCAAATACCTCAGGCTTTCGCGAATCGAGAGGTTACCGCCGTTTTTAGAGTCTTGTCGAAAGCCACACGGATCAGTGCCGAAACGGTTCTTAAAATAGTTCCGCATTTTATTCAACTAGGGATATTGCGAACTCTGGATCAGTCCGGCGTTACAATGTAACGGTTTAAAGTAGGGCGAAATCCTGCATAACGCAGCAACAACTGTACGAATGCTGGTGGGACTACCGCTCTCGATTAAAGGTGCCACGTACTTCGCTTTAAGCGCGATCTACCTCACCCAAGAAAATAGCGCAAAAATATCGTAGTCAAGCAAGTCAGTCCAGATAACTATCCTACGGGACCTACATGTGTCAAGTGCTGCACACAACTTACCATATCAAGCGGGTCGCAAGAGCCTTTGCTGGGGCAAGTTGGCCCAAAGAGAAGAAGGTAGGTAGGAGAGACTGAAAAAGAGACAAAACGGAGGGTGAAAACACCACAGACAGAGGAGCTAGCAGACGTGTGTGCCCTGTGAAGTTGGATCTAGTCCAAAAAGCACGGATCAAGTGGAAAAATGGTTTCAATGATTTACCGATAATGTAAATCAAAAACGCTGAGAGTTAATGGAGGAAATCGCCAGACAGCTATTTCGTCTTGTGTGGAATCTTCAGAAGTGTGCGATCTCCGGCTTCATCAGCAACCGAAACCATGACATCTACACACCAACCAGCGGCAGACCGCCTGGGCTCATAAGCAAACTAAGATACAGCGTGGTTCATCCTGGACTGCCATATAATTTGCGAAATTTGCAGAGTGTAGGTTTGACCATTAGAGCTACCCGAATCAGCAGCTGTGTAAGATAGCATCTAACAACCGAATATTTTGACAATATGTGAGTGGGAGATTTTTGATGGAACAGCTACTAAATGTTATGTCGTGTACGGCTGCTGGTACTAGAAGCCGTATCTGTGGGCGCCAACTCCGCACCCTGCAATGATCGGAGGATGACATGCGCTCTATCGTTGTTTGATTGTGTGTCATGACGGTCTGCTGCCACCACACTCATGGTCAACTGGCACAAACCGTTGTTTGGTGTCGAAAGGCCATCTGTTCGATTGTACATGGAGCCAGGAGATGCGCACGACTAATGTGACTTCCGATGGGACAAAACGGCCTTCCAATGCTTTTCCAGACGCGTAGGTGCTAGCTAACTTGGAAGCCATTGCGAAGAAGCTAAAGCGACCAATAGAAGGAGAAGACAATCACAATACATATATGATAAACGTCCCAACCATTGTGTGGAGTGTTACCAGAGATATCCGTCACAACCACACAGTCATCTGGAACAGGATTAGACGGCCACTTCGGGACTCGTCAACAGTGTGCAGTCCACATAAAAGGGCTCAGAAATACGCCGGTACGCATTAGCGACGCTTTGCTGCCGCGCAACCACCACCACCAGTCGTATGTGGGCTAAAGGTACTGCGAGGGTCGCCTGGTCCCAACGCAGGCTCGAACCCGCGCCCTCTTATTCCAAGACAGACTCGTAATCTTTAAGGCTACGGGTCGACATAGGTGATCGAATTTTATCTGAAGTGCGTTGTACGATGCGTTGACGATGAGAAGCCACTTGGATTGAGGCGATCAGTCGCAAGCGAAAGTGTAACGGTTGTGCTTCCATCGTTAAGCACAACTGATGTCGCTCAAGCCCTACGCCAATCGAGCTTGTGAAACGTGAGACGTCGTCTCTAGCGTTTAGGCACTGAAAAAGGAGTGTAACCTGCTTCTTCCACCCTAACCTCATATAAAAATG